GGTATGCCAGCGCATCAACGATATTTGGGATAATTTGCATAACGGTCAAAGCCTGTTATGCATAAATTATCACATGTATAAATTTCAAACACAATAATGTGGCGAATTTTTGTACTCACTTTGATACCCATTTAAGGAAGTAAATATTCTTTTTTTTAAATTTTCTTTGAAAAATACAAAAAAAAAAAAAAAAAAAAATCATGTAAAATAATTAAAAGCTAATGTCGACCTTTCAATGCTGAAAGCATTGTTTAAAAAGGTTGACTCAGAGATCTATAAAATAAAAGGTTGTGGGCATTCCTCCTTAAACATAATTAATCATATCTTTCAATTGTTCATTTTTTTTCCGATTCTGCAGTATATTTTTATAAGCATAAAATTTTGTGTCTTTTGAATTTTTTTTTTTACACAATCATTTTCTAAAACTATTGTCGGTGGATTTACATAAATGACTTTAAGCTGTTCTCAGTACCAGAGTTCAAAAGCATTGACAAAAATATTAGAAATAACGAGACAAAATTTTTTAAAATAGAACAAAATTTTGTGAAAATGACATGTCAACAACTTTACCCATAACAAATTAGTTTTAAGACTTGATAAAGGGTGCGTTAAGATAGTTTAATTTGGACATTAGTCACCATCAAGCTACATGAATTTGGACATTAAGCACCCAGTAGCATCAGCTTAATGGTGGCTTAAAGGAATAAACTTCTATAAGCCACCTTTTAGCCACCATGAAGTCACCATTAAGTAATATTGTTTAAAGATGGTCTTTACCCCTTTGGATGAACTCTATATATAACCAAATATGAATTACAGTATTATAATGGTCATCATATCTTCACGCAATTAGTTTAGCTGATTTTGTCTTAAGTATAATGATAATAAAAATACATGTAATTATACATTAAAAAATACTAGTGTTCCAATTCGAAGGTTGTACGTACCCAAAAGAGTGCCTCCGCTTTGCAACGTGTAATAAACGACATCTCCGACGCCCACACTTCCATCAGTGTTGTAAATTACGTCAAAAAGCTTACAAGATGCCTCAGTAAAATTGTACAGCAAGGAAACACAGTTACTTTGGTCAAAACACCGCACACTACACTCAGCTAGGCTAGAGGAGATACCAGACCAAACCGACAACGACGTTTCAACATGGTCTATTTTTATTTTTGTCTGCCGAAAGTACATTTCGTCTAAAATGATTTTTAAAATCACAATTAAGTTTTAAACAAAGGATTTTTATTTTTGTATTCATATAAATTATTCATCTTTAAACTTACTTGCTTTTCCATCCGAAATTATCACCAAAGAAAGACATAAATGGAAGCCTAATCGAAGCATATTCCATCTCCTGGCAATAGGCTTTGATTACAAGAAAATCATAAATTTATACACATTAACTGAGGATAAAAGAATCAATAAACACAAGTTCCAAATCAAAGAGTATCCTTCATTCAGAGTGGTACGTACGAAGTAAATTTTGTCCAAAACACTTTAAAACGTTTTCCTGTAAACAATGACTCTCTTGAAATCTTCAAATGGCACGAAAATCTCGGATTCATTCTTTAAAACTTATTTCTGTTATAATAATGTGTTTTACAAACAAAATATAGGAGAGGGCAAATAGAAATTGTTCTGTCAGCAGCTTATGCTCACTTTTTGTTCGGTCTATTTTGCTATGAAGAAAATTTAAAGTATTGCTTTACTAGCAATCACATTCTTCATAAAAAATTCTAACCTCAAAACGTGAAGATAATTTACGAAGAGTATTCTAGATATTCCATTTACTTGCTACAATACAACGTATGTGTAGGCGCAATGCAGGGACCAGTTTTACAAAAGGACTTACGACTTAAGACAAATTTAATTCTTCATATAACATTTTAATAAACATTATATCGAAAATTATTTCAAACTTTTTAGAGGAATGTGGTATGATATTATTACACAAACAATTTCAAAGAGAAATATTAATTTTGCAAAATATTACAACAATCTAAAGTTTTTGGTCTTAGTCGTAAGTTCTTTTGTGAAACGGGCCCCAGACCTCTGAAAATAGAGGGATCAAGTGCCTTGAAAGAATTAACATCTCATGACAACCAGTAATATTTAATATGCAGATGATAATGATATATTTCTTTATGAATACATTGTAGTATTGCAATAAAAATGAAATTTAAAGACAGGATATCAAGCTCATTATGATTATAATACTGTAAAATCTAGTTGTGATTTTTTCGTCAACATCTTTTCCAGTGAAACATTGAAACATAAAGGGATGTGTTGGATCTATGCCCTCATTTATTTACGTACTATGGAATTAACCATAACAATAAAATATGAAGACAATTAATATTTATCATGCTCAAATGTCTTGTGAAGAATGCAAAACAGAAATCTGATTAGCCTACGGCTTAGGAATGAAAATAAATATCGTCTATTGATAAACCATTGCAATAATGCTGCAAAGTAATTGCAGTACATGTATTATTTTAGGTTTTGCTGCAGCAATATTAGGGCAACACTAAATCTAAATTGGTATTTAATAGAAATAATTATCTATCAATCTAACAATTAACAAACTGTGCTGGGGAACATTGATGTGTTTTTGAAACACGGCAACAAAGTTTGTAAAACCATTTTTAGCATATAGGTCACAGTCAAAGTCACAAGGTCATTGATCTTGGTGTCATTTGAAAGAACTTAATTAGTGGAATATGCATACTAAATATGAAGTCTCTATCTTTTATGGTTCAAAATCTATGGTGGAGGTTTAAAAAGGCTATTTTTAGCATACAGAGTCATTGACCTTAGTGTCTTTGAAAGAGCATAATTAGTGGAGAATGCATACCAAATATGAAGTCACCATCTTTCATGGTTCAAAAAGTTATGTCTAATGTTCAAAAAATCTATTTTAAGCATATGGATCACAGTCAAGGTTACAAGGTCAAAGATCTTGGTGTCATTTTAAGGACCTAAATTAGTTGAGTATGCATACTAAATATATAGTCTCTATTTCTCATGGTTCTTAAATTATGACGAAATTTCAATAAAAAAACTATTTTTAGCATATGGGTCACAGTCAAGGTCACAAGGTCATTGACCTTGATGTCATTTGAAAGGACTTAATAAGTGGAGAACGCATACCAAATATGAAGTCTCTAACTCTCATTATTTCAAAAGATATCACTTATTGCAAAGGTTAAAGTTTACAGACAGAACAAAAACAATATGCACCCCCAATCTATCAATTTGGGCACACAATATGTGTATATAAAAATATTAATATGCCACTGTGAAAATGTCCAGCAACTCTGCATTATTTTTCAAATAACCTTAATTAGCTGCCAATCACATATCCCCAAATGCCAATCAGTATAATGTGTAATATATAGCTTGTTTGTCATTTCCAACATATATATATATATATATATAGAATCATTATTTTCTTGGAAGTATTCAAATTTATGCAATGAATTAATTATATACATGTATGTTCATGCATTTAATTGATAACATGAATTCATCTTTTCCTGCAACAATGGTATGATATATATATACATACAAGCTATATTATACATGCATCACAAGCACTAGTTGAAATGCATATAATTTTTCCTATTATATCTTCATAGAATCATTCATCTAAAAAAGAATATGGTTTTGACTTACCAAATCTGATATATATACGATGAAAACAGAGTATAGACATTCCTATAATTCTTTCAAAAGGCCATGCCTGCTGAAATTCTTTTTTTTCTAGCTATTCCACATTATTCAGTCTTACTAGTCATCATGTCTAATCCTATTGTACACAGTTAACAACTCCGATTAACTAGATACCATTCAATAATGAAGCAAAACATGCTTGCCTTTGCATTCCCTCCATTTTATTTAAACAGAGGAAGAAAATGACTGAGCATGCTCACAAATGCCTAATGGGTAATCCTAGATCTTTTGAAGACATTCTGGCAGTACTGCCAGAAAGTTTTTTTCTGGCAGTATTGCCAGAATATCTCCAGAAGTTGTTGCAGCTAGCGGTGATATTTCACTAACCCAAAGAGCTTGTTTCTGGTGACAAAAATGTGTTGCTGCAATGTTGCCGTTATATAGCGGCAATATTGCTGCAATAATTTTACTTTGGTAAGGGCCCCCTCTCCTTCGGAGCGGGGGTATAATAAAGCGGTGGATTCGTTGTTACAGACATCCATACATGTTATTCCTGGATTGATCAGTCTTCATCAGCGATAGAGAAGTGTATGTAAACGTTTAGTTATGACAGACCACGGCTTGAGCATCTGCAGCTGATACTGAAAAGAGAGGGGAAAAAACCCCTTTCATTTATATTGCTTTAGTTGACTAACTAGAAAAAGCAGATTATTCACAAAAAGTCTATCCTGTTAAGGAATATTATGGTACATTAACCCTCTGCTAACTCATATGAAAGTTTTCTTTAACTTTTATGAATTTCCAAAGGAAATGTATATGCTGAATAAAATACAAACAATTATAGCATGATTTGCGGGGCAAAATTTGACAAAAAAGGCACTTAAACTTGACAGATTTATAAAGGAATAATAGACATTTGTGTCATTAAAAGTTATCTCTCGTATCGGAGTATCAATATCCCTTTTTATTATATACCTAACGTGTATCACTCAATTTTACTGTTGAATTTACGCAATCACGTGACGTCGTGATCCGACTTTCCGGATCACCACACTGTGGTTTTCTGAATCCATATCACCACTCTCTGAAACTGATGACGTAACACGCAAAAACATGACGTTATTTTTCTTGCACGTTAAAAAGTCCCTTTGTTTTTGTGCTTTGTTTAATGGATAAATATCAAACAATTGATCTCTAAAGTTTTATTTTGCAATATTTAGCTAGTTATAAGGGGGTATATAATAAATTTATCATTATAACAGTAACTATCCAAAGGGTTTGTCGTTAATTTTAAAATGATTTGAAAATAAAAATGAGGGAAAATGCTAACTAAATTCGTTTGACACTTGAAATGTAATGGGTCCTGACTTTGGTCCACACGTTGCACACCATTCTGCACAGGTAAAGGAAATCTCGGAATCTGTTGATTTTTTAAAATCTCTCATCTCCGGGTAACTGCCATCAAGAGTTTCCCATGTTAACTGCAAAAAAAGGAAAAATGAAAGGAACATGTAGAATATCAATTTACATCAAGCTTAAAGTTTGTAAATCTTCAATTTCAATTTTTTTTTTGTTTTAAATTTCAAAAAACTCATGCTTTTGTAACTATATATAAGGGTCTGTGATTTGCAGCATTGGAATTTATTTCAAAAATATTTTGACTAAACAAGACGTAAATATTAAATTTATTTTAATTGTTAAGATGTTTGAAAACGAAATCTTACAGAGGGGTCAATAACCAGCCCTGTTCCTTTAGTGTTGATGGTTGCACTTGCGAAATGTGGACAGGGACTCCGAAATGCTTCACCATTGCAATCTGTAATTTCTCCATACGGTATCGTAGGCGTGCCAGTCAGCAATGTAAAGGTGTAGTCCAATCCATTGACTTCCATATTCTATATAGAGAAAATAACTTACACTAAATTAGATTGTTTGATTTGCTTTTTGAATTCTGATTTCAAAGAATATCATTTTTGAAATTTTTGATGTACCCTTGATGTAAAGACGTAAGCAAACATAAATTAACATCAACTGAATTTATGTGACGATTATCAGAAACGGAAGCAGAGCATTGTTATAACTTCATGTACCTGAATTTTTATTCCAACTTTGTTGAAATTTACCCTCTGTAAAGGTAGTGTGTAACTAGATTGACACTGTTGCCACATAAATGGCCAGTTCGATTGATCGTGTTGAATAAAGGAATTGAGATTCCCCAAAGTTATATATTCAGATGGATTAGATGCCATGTTGTAACAAAATATCTTCACCCTTTTTCTGCTCGTTGCTTGAAAATAAATCCAGTACTCGCCATCCGTCGTTAATCCTGTACTGCAGGCGATATCCTGACAAGATTCTGGTACTATGGAAGATAAGAAGGAAACATGGTTATACTTCAAAAATCTTTACATGTATGACTTTTTAATTTCCATGATTCTTAAAATACTTACAACAAAATATTGTTCTAGCATACTTTTTAACAAAGGGCTTGACTATATCTAACATTTAAGGACATGTGCTTTGGCATTATCTAATGATAAAATCCGTATTTGTTTTGTTTTCATGCCAAAATTGATCTTACTGGTGAATAAAGTAAAATATGAACAGAACAAACTGTAACCAAGCTTAAAAGTTCATTGGAACAAACACAGATCTCTAATAACAAGAGAGAAGTGCCATGGATGGATAAGCATCCCTTGCCGATCGGTCACCCCTTGAGTTCCTTATCATAATCGGACAAATGTAAAAATTCGATGACCATGAAGCATGAAAATGCATGCATTGGCCTATGTATAGTGTTATTGAAAAAGTCAGTCAACATTCGAATTAACAATAGATGGTACCAGTATTTGCTAACTTTGATCATATATTGACCGTGGAGTTTGCGGAAAACGTAACTGCATTTAATAGATACATGTATGATAGGGATTGCTTTGATTTTAAACATTAATCTGAAATAATGATATATTCATCTTACTGGAAATGCATGTTTACCTCGCGGCTCACATTTGAAGAACAATGTATATAAATCAATGGATTAATGTATATCTTTAAATTTTAGAAAAGATGTGATTTAATATTTTATTTTTTTTAATCCCCTCTTTATAATATAAAAAGACATGGGTAGCTCAGCAATATTTCTGGTGTATGTTCTCCAACAGAACATATAGATTATTGAACTTTTTTTTCCTTTTTTCAGTCTCGACCTAAATCTGAAAGTAAATTTTTAAATTAAGTTTTGATAGAATTATGCATATTTTGTTCAAAAATATTGATTTTCCTTACGTACATGTTTATAATAATTTGGGTGGCGCAGTTGTCAGAGCGTTTACGCTAGAGTCGCAGAAGTAGTTTATCTTACGTCGCGAATTTCAAATCTCTGTGTAATATACAAAACGCGAAAACCGGTTTTCGGATGAGACCATATAAACTGAGCTGAGGTCCCGTTTTGAAGTTGGTGCTGGCATACAAGATCCCTCACTGATCAAAGACCATAAAGAAGTGATCTTACCATTGCGTCAGACCAATCCAGACTTTTCTGATGAAGCAGAGTCAGACATATATTATTGTACCATAAGAAATCACCTGGACAAGCTTCACCATCTGTATATAGTAGACTGTTGAATTATTTTTTCAACAACAAGATGCCCAGGGCCTTATAGGTCATCTGAGCATCATGCAACAACTTTCAAGTGTTGACTTTGGTTCATGTTTTAAGCTAGATGCTATGGCGTTCACAATTTTGGAAGAGGCACCATTGCTAATAATAACTATACACATAGCAATTGCTTACTTTGGTTACTTAATACCCATAGGCAGGGTTGGGGAACAAAAATGCTTTTCAACTAATCAGCAATATTCAGGAATAATCAGAAGTGCCCCTACCACACATGAACCCCTGTCCCTAAGACCATGCATTGCACAATTTTTGAAAAGGCACACCTGCTTATCAAAAACGTTTGATAAATACTAAGGAGAAGATTTCAAACAATTCATTTTCAGTATATAAGTACAGCCCTCCCCCACCCTTTTATGGTATCCCTAACCCTGGGGCCTTGAAATTCACAATTCTGGAAGAAGAGCCCTTTCATATCATAACTATACAGCTGTATAGGTAGTTCATCTGCTTAATTATTACCCAGGAGTAGAGAATAATATTTTCAAAGATGTAATGTATCAAAGAGCAGAAAAGAAGATTTTCAAAGAATATACATGTATGCATTTTTACTATATAATCAATTGAGCCCCGCCCTAACACCAGAACCCCTGATCCTGGGGCCATAAAAGTCATAATTTTGGTAGAGGCACTCTTGCTCATTATAACTATGTACTTAGTTATTTTAATTAAAACCCAGATGCAAAGAAGAAGATTTTCCAAGAATTAATGCATTTTCAATTTATAATCAATAGAGCCCCGCCCTAACAGCAGAATCCCTGACCCTTGGGCCATAAAATTCACAAGTTTTGAAGAGGCATTATTGATCATCATAACTATGTACATAGTTTATATTCAATATCTAGGAGGATAGAAGATTTTCAAAGAATTGATGCATTTTCACTACATAATCAATATAGCCCCGCCCTAGCACTAGAACCCCTGACCATGGGGCCATGAATTTCACTATTTTGGTAGAGGATTTAATGGACATTACATTCATACCAACAGTTTGACTGCTTGATGTCCAGAAGTAAAGAAGAATGTTTTTAAAGATTTCATTAATTTTAATGGTTTTGGCCCCAATCTGCAGGCCCCAGGGGGGGGGGCGGGGACCATAAAAATCAAAATATCTGTTTTCCTTCACCCATAGATGCTGTATACCAAATTTGGTTGAAATTGGCTCAGTGGTTTCAGAAAAGAAGCTGAAAATGTTCAAATGTTAACACACGACGCACGACGACGGACGAAAACGGATAGCAATAGATCACCTGAGTGACTTCTTTTATCCCATAAACATTCCTTATTTATAACCATTTCCAAATTCATTTTATTTTCAAATTCAAATTTTAAATTGCCTTTCCATATTATATCTTTCTTTAGTTTCTTTTTATCATGTTAACAAACGCTATTTTGAGAGAATAAGACTTTGATTTACTAGGTAGTCGTAATTTACAAGCGATAATTACTTATTTTGTTCAATTCTGTAAATCGCACTTCACCAGCGTACACCATAGAAACATTTATCAGTTGTCCTGATTTCTTTCTTTACAAATGATCAATGGAATAGAAGATTATGGATAATAAAATCAATGGAATAGAAGATATTGAATGAAGAAATAGATGGAGAAGTTGTTGTATTACAATGTTCAGTAGGACTCCATTCAACATGCAGAGTGAACGTTTTGAGCAAGGTCGGCACAAGCAAGGGAATATGACACGTATACCTTAAGTTTGTTTATTTTCACATGAATATTAGTTTGCAACTGGGTTCTCTTTTGGATTTCATTGTCAACATCTTTATCATATACGATATTTTGCTTTTTTGCACCTAAACAATATCTTCGGTATAAAAAAAGCAAAGTGATTTTTTAAAATGTGTAGTCTTCATAGTTACATTCATAGTTTCTTAAGTTTGGAATTTCCAGAAATATACAAATATTAATAATATACATGTACATTAAAATCACATACTTTCATTAGATCGAATTTTAGAGGTTTGAGAAAAAGATGTTGGTTTGTTGGGATTTAATTTCGTTGTTGGAAAATTGTTGTGTAGTAACGCATGTGAAATTTTACATTTCGTGTTGGTCATGTATTCGTAGATCTCTTCATACCTCGAAAACAACGAAAATTTATTAAACACCCACAAAAATGTAGTGATTAGTAAACAAACCTCTTATATATTGACCTTGTCGATCATAGTATATACAACCATCTTAATGAAATTGTTATTTTATCTCTCGTACATGTCAGTTAAACTGATATTTATCTATATCTAAACCAAATAGAACATTTTATCGTTTTTCTATTACACTGAGGAGTGAATTTTATGTGTCATCCAGATTGCTTTGAAGTGACATCATTTTTTAGTTTATTTGCAGGTGAAAATACAACACGGTTTAAGTTTTTCAAATTATAAATTTTATTCCAGTTATCACAAAAAAGATTTATTGATTCATTGTCTACTTTGTTGGGTATACCAGGGCATCAACGATACGTGGAAACATGGGTTAATTTGCATAACAGTCGAAGCCCGTTATGCATAAATTACCCCACGTATAAATTTCAAACACAATAATGTGGCGAATTTGTATACCCACTTTGATACCTATTGGAACAAATTAATCATACAATTGTTCATTTTTTTCTGACTCTGCAGTATATGTTAACATACATGAAATTTTGTGTTTTTATATTTTCTATTTACACAATCATATTTTTGTTTCTTCTTATCAAACAGAGTAAAACTATTGTGGATTACATAAATTGATTTTAAGGTACATTGATACTCTGATAAGAGAAATAACTCTTAATGACACAAATGTCCATTATTCCTTTATAAATTTGTCAAGTTTGAGTGCCTATTTTGTCAAATTTTGCCCCGCAACCCATGCTATAATATTGTTGGTATTTTATTCAGTATATACATTTTCTTTGGAAAATTATAAAAGTTAAAAATTTCATATGAGTGAGCAGAAGGTTTATGAACCTTAAGCTGTTTTCAGTGTCCGAGTTCATACGCATTGACAAAGATATTAGAACTAACGGGACAAAATTTAGAATTGAACAAAATTTTGTATAAATGATATGCCAACAAAATTTACCCATAACAAATTAGTTTTAGTTAAATACTTGATAAAGGATGCGTTAAGATAACTTAATTATGTTTGGACATCAAGTCACCATTAAGCTGCAACTTAAAGGTAGCTTAATGGAAGTTCAAGGAATTTGGAC